AAAACTGAATAGCGGGGAGGGTGGGTGTCGCTAGGGCACTTCAGATCACTTTGGAAGGGCACTTTCTATTCAAGACTAAAAAGGGCATGTGCACTGCACAGGTTGAGCCCTATGTGTGCACATGCCTAATGGGGAGAACATTCAAACTCCTCACAGAAATGGCAACTGACCCAGCCGGAGCGACCTTCTTGCTGTGAGGCGACAGTGCTAACCACTGAGCCATTGTGTCACCCCATTTCTTTTACAGTGCAAAGTAATTTCTGACAAAATGTCTTCATTTCAGTGATATCTATCAGGTAAGTGGAAATAATTCTGAATGTCAGGTATTTAAAAAAATGATAATTTTCCCCAAGTGATGGCCCGATGAAAGACACCATCTGTTTGTGTGCGATTAACACCTGTGTTCTGTGTACAGTACCTCAACTCCGCGCATCCTCAAAGCACTTTTGTTGTCTCCGTTTGCTTCATAATTATGGTAAAACCCGGCAGCTGTAGGAGAGATATGAGTCCAGGCGCTCTGCTTCCCCGCTGAGAACTGAATTATGTAATGAGATGCCACTGTCAGAGCGCTTCAGCGCAGTTGTCAGGCATGGAGGGAGACACCTGTGAGCTGTACGCCTCAACTTCGTCTCGCACCTTCTTCCTACAAGCTACTATATGCTTGTTAAAGGCACATCTACCTTCAGTTCACATCAGGATTCATACCTTTCCGAGGTCTTCGTGAGAGTTGCACCATTCGTTTTAATGGATAAAGCTTATTGCAGGTGTCATGTTGGCACTCTTGAGGGGTGAATCTCAGAAAACCTGTCAAGAAAAGGTTGGAAATGAGAAATAAAATGTGCATGATTGATTTACGTGATTTATTTATTTGTTTTTTCACATCTGTCTTTGTAATTAGAAGCATATATTAATGTGATTTGCATACACACATTAAAGTTCATAAGAAAACATTGCTGTCATACTGTCACAATACTTTTTACATGACAATAATGTACTTAAATCAGGAATGTGAGTTTTAAAAAGTTTTGTTTACAGACAAAAGTGTTGTAAAATAGTTACCCGTCTACGTGTATCTATAAAAATGACTATATATACTGTATTCAATATGCCAGGCCAGTAGGTGGCGATATAACTTTGTAAAGATACAAAAGCATTAGTGCACATGCTCACCTGTAGTCCACCATATTGCTGTTTTAGTTGACTAGAGCTGCGTCACAAAAGGCACACTATATACTTAAGCACTTACTCAACAGCTTAGTACTGTATGTAGTGTTGTCCCAAACGGAACATTAATGATTTTGTACTATGCAGAAATTTAAACAGTTTCCCTGATGACGTTTGTCGGCTGCCAAGTTAGCGAAATAAATGACTAAACTACCAAATAATACCTGCCATGAGTGTAACTGCATTCACCACTGGGAGGCGCTTTAATCACTTTCTAGTAGCAGAATTTTGCTTTTAAAATCCAAAATAAACAAAGTAATCCAACATCAGTGCTTGAAAGCTACGATCCTTCGACTGTGTGAGCAAAGCAGCAGCCATTGAGTGCGTGAGGTGTGCAACATTTCACACTTCTTTATAACAGCTGAAAAAGTGCAACATCCGGGTATTTAAAGTGCACTATTCTTTTTAGAATTTCAGTGTGTATGCACTACTTAAACTATTTATACCACCAAATAGCATAGAATAGTGCATAAATATGAGATTTGGGACGCACCTAAGATCTTGGACAAGGCTTTAGATTGAACAAAAAGTTCTGTTTTCAGGGCACCAAATCCTCTTGTCAAAAATTCAGGGTTTAGTTTAAAACTAGTATCACATAACCACAAATAAATTGTTCCCAAAACACTTTAAAAAAAAAAAAAAAAAAAAAGAAGTGTATTTTTATGCATACACTTTCAAGCCGGTGGTGACTTTAATTTACATTTCAAAAATATACGTTTGGGTTGTTTTTGCAAAACGGAATTTCACCAGATATTTAATTCATGTTTATTTCTTAATTTATTAAGAAAGATTGTGTCACAACAGTTTTGATTAATGATTTGGAATAAATTAATTACTATCAAATCCAAGCATTCAGCAATCCAATAATAGAGTACGAAAAGCAAGAAAATGCTAATATTTCCTTCAGAAAGTGTAAAACATTATTTTGATATTTCAATAGCCTACATTTGATATTTAATAAATTTACACCAGTCACCACTCACACAAAAATTACACCCTTAAGCTATTAAAGATAATAAACAAACACGTTGTGTAGCACATTACAAGTATTCTCATAAGCATTTTTTGTAGAATAACCAAAATTTTAACAATTACTCACAAAAATCCTGCCGTGAGACCGCCATTTTTGTTTACATTCGACGATATCAAGCGCACGACACCATATAAGGTAAAAAAGGAGGAGTCAAAACTGGCCTCGGATGTCAAATTTGAATATGCAGAAGCTATAATTTAATAACTAATTACTAATAAGCTGCCAATTTAAAGAGATTTCATTAAAAATTAAAAGTTCTCACTATTTTGTTCTCTACTTGTTCCAAATATAAATTTCTTTCTGTTGAACAACATGGTGTAAGAAATATTTTGAATAAAGCTGAAAACCATTGACTTCCACAGATTTTGTTTTTCCTACTTTTGGAAGTCAGTAAGTCATGTTTTCAGCTTTCTTCAGAATATGTTCAACAGAAGAAAAAAAAATGTTTTTTTAGCGCTTGACAAGAAGTGACAAATTTTTAAGTAAACTGCCTTTAATTACCGTCGCCTATTAGTATTTTTCAGTCTTCAGATCATGTTACGAGTTTAAAATATTCATTACTATGAGGGGATGGACAGTGACTGGTGCACGCGCACGACTGCAGGATTGCGACTGTCTTGCGATCGCGCGCATTCTCTCCCTCTCTCTCTCTGTGTGTGTGTTTAGTAGGATCTCAGAGTGAATCGGGCTCAGATGCCTTTACCTGAGCACTAGTGTGGACCGAGAGCTTGTTCAACAGATACTGACAGATTCAACATCCACAATGTTTTGGGGTGTCTCTGATTTTTTCCAGCTACTCTCCTCATCACATTCGCGGGGGTTTTCAGGACTCCGTGCGTTTTACTGATATACATTCAGGTAAGAAGAACAGTAAAATTATTTATATTTGAGATGATTTAAGTTGATTTTAGCAAACAAACCATTTTATGATCATTATATAACTTCATGCATCACTGTTTCGTTCATGCTAGGTCAATATATTGCACATAAACCAGATTAAAATTTAATAATTTCGTTATAATAGTGAAACTAGTGTGTAAGCGCACTTAAGTTTTAATGTCACCGTATATATGCAAGGCTAATATGCAGTTTTATTTTCTCAGGCAGTTCGTGAAGTGTTATTTTAACACTTAAATCCTTCATAAATGTTCTGAAGAATGTAATCATGCAAGAAAAACAAGCATGCAGCGTCCGTCACTGTATTTGAGGTCTTCAGACTGATGTTATCAGTGTGAGAAATGATGTTTTAACAATGTTTTTGTAGTGAGACTTTCCACACATCTTTAAGTTCAGCTCGTATTTTCATTGTCAGTTCTGACGGTAAATATTATGAACGCACCAGCAGCAGGTCTACACATTTAAAGTATGAAGTCAAGCCTATATATCTGCCACAGAACTATTTAGCTGTCACACATTTGTAAAATTAATTTCCATCAGCTCACTTTTCAGCATTATTAAGCAGTAAATAGTAGCTGATAACGAACAACAAAAAGGTTAAGGTTTATAACACGCTTAGCTATTATTTTCATCAAATACTTTTAGTACAAAATTGTATAAATATCTAGTATTTAAGATATGTGACAGCTCCAATCTCACTCCCTGCACAGTGAATTCTTCTATAGGTATTTTAGAAATGCTCATAGTGGTGGTTTTACATTGATGACAATTGCCAGAAGTGTACATCTGCAGAAAAAACACACTATTTGTTGACTTTAGTCAATGATTACAAGCCACAATTGGATGTCAACACTATATAAAATTAAACGTAATTAACGTTGACTGAATCAGCTCCCTTACATTGTAATCCATCTTCAAGATCAGTGCGTTTTGTCCTTGTCCACTCATTTAAAGTAAGAAGTCAAGCCTATTTACTGTATCTACGGGACTATTAGCTGTTACTATTATTATTATTAAATTATCAATCGTGTGACAGGTTAAGGTTTAAAATACACTTAGTTATTAGTTTCACCATGTGAAACTATTACTGGTAGTACTAAATAGTTTAAAAATCTAACAGATAAGACATGTGACAGCTCCAGTCTTGCTCCCTGCACTGAGAATCGCTCTATACTTATATTATAAATGCTCATAGTTGTGGTTTTACATTGGTGACAATTGCTGGACGTGTGAATTTGCAGAAATAATATATAATTGGTAGACTTGAACCAATGACAACTGGCCAAAATGGAATGTCAACACAATATATTATAAACCTAAAAGTGATCAACACTGACTGAAATCAAATCAGCTCTCTTACACTTTAATCCATCTTCAAGTTCAGTGCGTTTTTTCCTGCAGGCAGTTCTGATTGTAAATATGAATCTACCAGCAGCAGGTCTACACATTTAAAGTATGAAGTCAAGCTTATTTATCGACGGGACTATTAGCTGTTATTATTTTTAAATTATCAATCGTGTGACAGCCGTCAGCTAGCTTTTCAGCATTATTAAGCAGTGAATAATAATGAACAACAAAAAGGCAAAGGTTTATAACACACTCAGCTATTAGTTAGATATTAATGTTAAAATATCTAACATTTAAGATATGCGACAGCTCCAATCTCACTCCCTGCACTGAGAATCGCTCTATAGGTATTTTATAAATGCTCATAGTTGTGGTTTTACATTGATGACAATTGCTGGAAGTGTACATCTGCAGAAAAAATACACTATTTGTTGACTTTAGTCAATGATTACAAGCCACAATTGGATGTCAACACTATATAAAATAAATGTAATTAACGTTGACTGAAATCAAATCAGCTCAGTGCATTTTTTTTCTTGTCAATTTGCCTGAAAATATTATAAACTTACAGCAGGTCTACACATTTAAAGTATGAAGTCAAGTCTATTTATCTGCAGGGCTATTAGCTGTTGTTATTATTTTTCTTAAATTTTCAATCGTGTGACAGGTAAAGGTTTATAATACACCTAGTTATTACCTTCATCATGTGAAACTAATCTTGTTAGTACTAAATTGTCTAAATATCTAACATTTAAGACATGTGACAGCTCCAATCTCGCTCCCTGCACTGAGAATCGCTCTATACTTATATTATAAATGCTCATAGTTGTGGTTTTATATTGGTGAATATTGTTGGAGGTGTAAATTTAAAGAAATAATATATAATTTGTTAGACTTTAACCAATGATTACTAGCCACAATTGGATGTCAACACAATATAAAATTAAATGTAATCAGCTTTGACTGAAATCAAATCAGCTCTCTTACACTGTAATCCATCTTCAAGTTCAGTTTGTTTTTTCCTTGTCAGTTCTGACGGTAAACATCATGAACTTATGAACCAGCAGCAAGTCAAACCTATTTATCTGCCACGAGACTATTAGCTGTTATTATTATTATTATTAAATTATCAATCGTTTGACAGCCTTCAGCTAGCTTTTTTAGCATTATTAAGCAGTGCATAATAATGAACAACAAAAAGATAAAGGTTTATAACACACTTAGTTATTAGTTTCATCATGTGTTTTTAGTACTGTTAGTACTAAATTGTTTAAATATCTTACATTTAACAACTAACATCTAACACATCCCTGCACTGAGAACTGCTCTATCGGTATATTATAAATGCTCATAGGTGTAGTTTTACATTGGTGACGATTGTTAGAGGTGTGAATTTAAAGAAATAATACACTATTTGTTGGACTTTAACCAATGATTACTAGCCAAAATTGTATGGCAACACAATATCAAATCTTATATAAAATCAGCTCTCTTACATAGTAATCCATCTTCAAGCAGGTCTAAACATTTAAAGTATGAAGTCAAGCCTATTTATCTACGGGACTATTAGCTGTTGTTATTATTAAATTATCAATTGTGTGACAGCCGTCAGCTAGCTTTTCAGCATTATTAAGCAGTGAATAATAATGAACAACGAAAAGGCAAAGGTTTATAACACACTAGCTATTAGTTTCATCATGTGAAACACATTCTGTTAGTTATAAATTGTATAAATATCTAACATTTAAGACATGTGAGAGCTCCAATCTCGCTCCCTGCACTGAGAATTGCTCTATACTTATATTATAAATGCTCATAGTTGTGGTTTTATATTGGTGATTATTGTTGGAGGTGTGAATTTAAAGAAATTATTAATAATTTGTTAGCCTTTAACCAATAATTACTAGCCACAATTGCATGTCAACACAATATAAAATTAAATGTAATCAGCTTTGACTGAAATCAAATCAGCTCTCTTACACTGTAATCCATCTTCAAGTTCAGTTTGTTTTTTCCTTGTCAGTTCTGACGGTAAATATCATGAACTTATGAACCAGCAGCAAGTCAAACCTATTTATCTGCCACGAGACTATTAGCTGTTATTATTATTATTATTATTAAATTATAAATCGTGTGACAGCCTTCAGCTAGCTTTTTTAGCATTATTAGGCAGTGAATAATAATGAACAACAAAAAGATAAATTTTTATAACACACTTAGTTAGTTTCATCATGTGTTTTTAGTACTGTTAGTACTAAACTGTTTAAGTATCTAACATTTAACAACTAACATCTAACACATCCCTGCACTGAGAACTGCTCTATAGGTATATTATAAATGCTCATAGGTGTAGTTTTACATTGGTGACGATTGCTAGAGATGTACATTTAAAGAAATAATACACTATTTGTTGGACTTTAACCAATGATTACTAGCCAAAATTGCATGTCAACACGATATAAAATTAAAAGTAATGATGTTGACTGAAATCAAATCAGCTCTCTTACACTGTTTTCCTTCTTCAAGTTTAGTGCACTCTTTCCTTGTCAGTTCTGACGGTAAATATTAACTTACGAGCAGCAAGTCAAGCCTATTGATCTGCCATGAGACTATTAGCTGTTATTATTATTATTAAATTGTCAGTCTTGTGACAGCCTTCAGCTAGCATTTCAGCATTATCATACAGTAAATAGTAGCTAAAAACGAACAACAAAAAGGTAAAGTTTTATAACACGTTTAGCTATTAGTTTTGTCATGCGTTTAAGTACTGTTAGTACTAAAGAGTTTAAATATCTAACATTTAAGATATGTGACAGCTACAGTCTCGCTCCCCGCATTGAGAATTGCTCTATATGTATATTAAATGCTCAAAGATGCGGTTTTATATTGGTGACGATTGTTAAAAGTGTCAGAAATAATACACTACTCGTTGGACTTTAACCAATTACTAACCAAAATGGTGAGTTCTGACAGTAAATATGAACTTACCAGCTGGATGTCTACACATTTAAAGTATGAAGTCAAGCCTATTTGTTTGCCATGAGACTATTATCTGTTAATATTGTTAATAATTTATCAATCGTGTGGCAGCCTGCTTTTCAGCATTATCAAGCAGTAAATAGTAGCTCATAACTTACAACTAAAAGGTAAAAGATATTTAACACACTTAGCTATTCGTTTCATCGTGTAAAACTTATTATTTTAAATCGTATAAATAACATTTAAGATATATGACTTGCTCTATAGATATATTACAAATGCTCATAGCTGTGGTTTTAGATTGGTGACAACTGTTGGATGTGTGAATTTGCAGAAATAATACACTATTTGTTGGACTTTAACCAATGATTACTAGCCAAAATTGCATGTCAACACAATATAAACCTAACAAGTATGTTGACTTAAATCAAATCAGCTCTCTTACACTATATTTTATGTTGGCTTGAGAAAGCCAACATACTGTTACACTACTCTGTCCTTGAAAACAAACGTATCTCCTCCTAGGCCGTTCATGCCACAAGGCCCAAATGTGGTCAAAATGTGCCTTCTGCATTCAAGATTGTTGCTATATCTCCTCATGCCTGTAAGACTTATCTTTTTTTTTTTTTATAAAAAATGTTAAATATTAAATTTTGATAACCCGGGCATATAAAAAAATTATACAAGCCCCAAATTTGGCCAAAAGCTGTATTAAGATGCGGTAGATTTTGTTGCTATATCTTTAAGGTTTGTCATACTTATAGTTTTCCAATAAATAATTTTTGAGCATTATTTTTCTCAAAATATGGCAAGCCATTTTTGACTTAAACTCATTTTTTTTACTGATATGGCAAGCCATTTTTGCATGCATCACCTTCACACTTATTAAGCATTGTATTTTCAAAAAAATACGACAAGCCATTTTTACATAATGTTCATTCCCTTAGTCCCCTTTATTAATCAGGGGTCGCCACAACGGAATGAACCGCCAACTTATCCAGCATTTGTTTTACACAGCGAATGCCCTTCCAGCCACAACCCAACACCAGGAATACATAATGTTCAAGTCCAGTTTTTGACACTCTTCAACATGCTATAGACAGATTTGGTTGAACTGTGCTGAAATTCAAAGAAAATTAGACGTCTATGTAACGGAGGCCAGCTAGTAGGTGCTGTGCAGGTAAACCTCCCTCCTCTGACCTCTAAAGGTGCTCTAGCGACAGATGCTAGAGGCCATGGTCTTTAGCTTCCTTGGTAGAGCAACTTGACTCCCATGCGGAAGGTCGCCGGTTCGATACCAGCTCGGAGCGGGTTGGGTGGCGTAGGACCGGCGGGGTTACATTGGTGCCGTGACCCGGATGGGAGTGAGGTTTAGGGGGGTGAGTGTAACGGAGGCCAGCTAGTAGGTGCTGTGCAGGTAAACCTCCCTCCTCTGACCTCTAAAGGTGCTCTAGCGACAGATGCTAGAGGCCATGGTCTTTAGCTTCCTTGGTAGAGCAACTTGACTCCCATGCGGAAGGTCGACGGTTCGATACCAGCTCGGAGTGGGTTGGGTGGCGTAGGACCGGCGGGGTTACATTGGTGCCGTGACCCGGATGGGAGTGAGGTTTAGGGGGGTGAGTGTAACGGAGGCCAGCTAGTAGGTGCTGTGCAGGTAAACCTCCCTCCTCTGACCTCTAAAGGTGCTCTAGCGACAGATGCTAGAGGCCATGGTCTTTAGCTTCCTTGGTAGAGCAACTTGACTCCCATGCGGAAGGTCGACGGTTCGATACCAGCTCGGAGTGGGTTGGGTGGCGTAGGACCGGCGGGGTTACATCTAGATTAATCAATGCAATTATTGGTCATTTGTGTAAGACGATTGCCTGACTACCAAATAGGACATGTTTCTGAATTAACATCTATTTTGATCCTTGAATAACAATCCAATCAGCCAATCAGAATAATGGGATAAGTTTAGTTTATGTTTAATTTAGGCTTACTGTTATGCACTTCTACATGATTGTTAACTATTATTCCCCTTTGATTTTGGGAATAATTTACAGTTATGGTTGGGTTTAGGGGTAGGGATTAGGTATAGATTATATTTTCCAACACAAATGATGTTCCAGGGTCAACATAGATGTTAATCCAGGATCGCATCGTACTTGGCAAAATCATAAGACGATAGCTTGAAAAGGCTTATTTGGTCCAGTGGATGTCAATAGTGACTCTCAGCCATGCATTTCCAATAGCTTTAATGCGAGGGTTGTGAGGCTGTAAAACCTGCTCGGCTTCTGTGCAAGACTGAGGAGAATAACAAAACAAGCAGCACTCGCTGTGTCACTTCAGTCGTGTGGGTTTGCGTTTTTTGGCTCTGGTCTTTATAGCCGAGGTGTGATCATCTACACGGTTTCACTCCCTCTGATCTCTCGCTCCAAGACAAACACATCCAAATGAAGTCAAGACATAAATGACAAACAATGCACACATACAGAAAAACTGACTTCATAGCTTCTCCATTATCTCTCTCGCTCTCCTCTTTCGTGTGAGTCCAGGTTGAATTGATTTTTCAAGGCCTTATAAAAGGAAGAATAAGACATATTACTTTTTGCTTGTCGAGGAAGGAGGTAGGCAAGTTTGAAGGCATTTGGAGTATAAGAAAAAGCTGTGTTGGTCTGAAAATGATGCATTATTGCAGACATTATACATGCTTGTTGATGTCAAAGCTTGGTAACGCTATTTTAAGGGTCCAAAATAATGCATTAGTTAAGCATTTATGTTAAATTTATTTACAACTAAGCATTAGTTAAAACAGAAACACTAGTAATTAATGATTAATTAAACATTTTAATGGATTATGCATTAGTTAAGCTCAGTTAAACATGTAAATAATGATTAAATTGTTCACAATTATTTAGTTTAACATGAGCAACACATGATTAACTGAACATATAGTAAAGGCATTTTAACCTTGATTTACAATTTGATAAGCCTTATATTATTTCTTTGATTCATTGTGTAAGTTCACTGAACAACAACCTAGTAATAATGTTTAGTTATTGCTTGTTTGCAATTATGTATGGCTAAATAATGTAATAAACACAGTTTAACCTCATGTCCTAAAGATGAAGGTATGTCAATGTTTATAATGGCACTTGAGTGATTTTCAGGTTTATTGACTGGTAGAACTATTTAATATTAAATAATTATTAAAATAATTAAGTTCAAGTTCATTCATTCATTCTACCGCAATTTTTTTTTACATTTCTACAGACGTTTCTCTTGCTTTATTTCTATGTTTTTATATTCTGTGTATTTCTTTTTTACCTTGTCTTATGTACAGCACTTTGGTCAGTCTTGTGACTACTTTTAAATGTGCTTTATAAATAAATGAACTTGAACTAAAATAATTAAGGCTAAAATGTCATTAATAAAGAGCTAATAAGGGATATTTGACTCCTATTCTAAAGTGAAAGTTATATCCACATTAACTATGGCACTTATTAAAGAATATTCAAGTTTATTGACTAAAACAAGTGAATAATTAAAGCTAAAAGGTCAACAATACAGTGTTAATAAAGGCAATTTGACCCCCTATTCTAAATATATTATCACACTAAATATGATAGAAAACGAATTATATATAATTTATAGGTAGAATTAATACTTCTAGGTATTTATTTGGGGGCTCTTAGATTTCCCCGCACCCTAAGAGGCGGCTGACCTTGCTTATTGGTTAAATCCACCCCTGCATTTAGTCATTTAGCAGACACTTTTGTCCACAGTGACTTAGAATTGAGGAGGCATTCAGCGATACAACAAGAAGAGGCAATACACACAATAAGTGCTCATTATACTAAGAAACTATTAGTGCTCAGAGATTTAGTATTAGTGCTAGAGTAAGGGGGAGTGTTTTAATAGAGAGAGAAGAATGTTTCTACAGGTGGTTTGTGAAGTCCACTCACCTTTTAGTCTAACACTCTATTTTTTTATCTCTCCATCCATTCCAGATCCAAAATGGAGTCTTTTAACCAATCCAGGGGGGCGGGGCTCATCCAGGGGGATTATAACTCCTCCTCCGGTGGACTGGGATTTCCAGAAACTTCCTTTGGGAATTACACTGCCAATGTGTCTGATCAGAGCATGCCTTTCCAAGGCAGCAGCACTATGGTCACTGCAGTCATATCCTTCACCGTGTTCATCGTTGGACTCACCGGCAACACTCTGGCCATCTACGTGGTTCTGCGCTACGCTAAGATGAAAACAGTCACAAACATTTACATTTTGAACCTAGCCGTGGCTGACGAGCTGTACATTTTGGGTTTGCCGTTCCTCACAACGCAAAACGTACTGTCATACTGGCCGTTCGGCTCATTCCTTTGTCGTGTTGTGATGACGGCAGACTCGCTAAATCAATTCACGAGCATCTTTTGCTTGACAGTGATGAGCATCGATCGCTATTTAGCAGTGGTGCATCCAATCCGTTCCACTAGATGGCGCCGACCACGAGTAGCTAAAGCTGTTAGCGCAGCGGTGTGGGCGTTTTCCTTCATCGTCGTTTTACCGGTGGTGATATTCTCCGACGTCCAGGACACTTTTAACTCATGTAACATGAGCTGGCCGGAGCCACGAGACATCTGGTCGACCGCATTCATCCTTTACACAGCGACTCTTGGGTTTTTCGGCCCCCTGCTGGTCATCTGCATGTGTTACCTTCTCATCGTGGTTAAAGTGAAGTCGTCCGGAGCGCGTGCAGGATTTACGAAGCGCAGGCGCTCGGAGAGGAAGGTGACCCGCATGGTGGTGGTGATCGTGGTGGTTTTCGTCCTCTGCTGGCTGCCGTTCTACATCATCAACATCGTAAACCTGGTGATCATTCTGCCGGAGAACAGCTGGATGGCGGGTGTGTATTTTTTCGCCGTCATCCTGTCGTACGCCAACAGCTGTGCCAATCCATTGCTCTACGGGTTTCTGTCGGACAACTTCAAGCAGAGTTTCCGGAAGGTGTTGTGTGTGCGCAAGGCCAATGGTGTGGAGGATGGCGATCCTAGCCTGCCGCGCACCGAGAAAACGACCACCAACGACTCGTTCCTGACACCTCGAAACAATGACTTTAACGGACACATGCAGGGCAGCCAGGTACAGTCACTCAAAAGCACATCACAAACACTCAATATACATGTTTATACAAGGAGTTCAAGGGTCATATTTTGGTGTGTTTCTGTCTAATCAAGCGATGGTTCACCCAAAAATTACTTGTTTACTCAATTTTCATTCTTCTGTTGAACACGAAATAAGATATTCTGATCAAAGCGGGAAATCTGTAACTGTTGACTTTCATTATAAGAAAAAGAAATACTATGGAAGTCAATAGTTATGTTTTTTTTTTATCTCTCTTCAAAATAGCTTATTTTGTATTCAACAGAAGGTTTAAGGCAAAAAATGTTTGAGACAAGTGAAGGGTGAGTATATGATGACAGAATATATATATATGAGCAATATCACACGAGTAGCAGTGCAATATGGCTGTATATCGGCACTGGTGGGAGGCGTGCGATGGCACCGAGTGCCTTAGTGCCCCCACCAGTGCCGATATACAGCCATATTGCACTGCTACGAGTGTGATATTGCGTTTATACAACAGTTTGACGGCATAATTGTGTATATAAAAACAAAATCAAACACGGAGAGTTTCAAAAACCCTTTTGTATGAGGAACTACTTTCTTCCACATTGGATTCAAATCATAAGCTGACAGTTAAACAGCTGAGCAAGCATCTTTTAAACTTTAGATCTGTAGTGTCTGCTTTTTCTGGCTGTATGTGGGCGGAGTCATACACAAAAGGTAAAGAGGCTGTAGGAGTTCTGATTTTGCAGAATATCGTAAGGCTATCAGCCAATCGGATTTGAGAACCAGACAGAACAATATATATTGGTTAAACTATGCCTTTAAAGGGTTAGTCCACTCAAAAGTAAATATTAGCCTATGATTTAAGCACCCTCACTTTAAATATGACTTTTTTCTTTTAGTTATTTTTAAAGCCCAATAAAGCATTTTCCAGGCTGCGAGAAAATAGATAAAAAGAGCAGAGCTGCGGTAAAATAATCAATAAGAAGACTGTGGTCAAGTTAAAAAAAAATAATTAATTTAAAAAGTGTGACTGCTGAGAGCAACAGATTCTGGAGCTAGGGTCACCGGCCCTCGCGCCCAAAAAACGGACCGGCCCGGCCCACCGGGAATTCTCCCGGTCCTCCCGATTAGCCAATCCGGGCCTGCTTGAGGCTGAGTAAATCCTAAGCAAACTTTCATTTTGGTGTGAACTAACCCTTAAAGCTACAGTCACATTTACACTTTGAGCATTAGAAATCCAGTCATTTCAATACTGATCAATGGAGTCAAGAATTTCCCATCACTACTGAAGATTAAAGGGATAGTTCCCCCAAAAATGTAAATTTACCCCCAAGCCTCTATGGGTTTCTTATTTCTTTTGAACACAAAAGAAGATATTTTGAAGAAAGCTGCAAACCTGGAACGGTTAACATTTATAGTAGAAAAAGCAAATACTATGGAAGTTAATGGTTACAGGTTTTCTATCCAGAATATATTCCTTTATGTTCAACAGAGGAAAGAAAACAAAATATCAAGTGAAGGTTAAGTAAAAGGTAGATTCTCATTTTTGCGTGAACTATCCCTTTAACACACAAATTTGGCAGATGGGTTGAAGTTACTCATGTGAATCCACCGAACTGATCAGTGGGAAGTTTTTTGGTTTAGGAAGGACACTGATCTGTGTGACATGTTTCCGGCGTGGGTTCACAAACCGATGTTTCCAGGGGTTTCGGGTCAGAAGGATCAGTTCATCTCTAGGCCTTAACATGAAATCTCTCAAACAAATCAGGGAGCTGTGGGTGGAGAGATGCTGACATTGTCTATGCTAGTTCCATTGAGGGCTGTAATAAAGCTGCACTATTGCTGGAAAACTGTAGGGACTCCTGTTGTGTGAGAAAGAGAGAGAGAGTCAGTAAATAAAGGGATTCGGTTTCAGTTTATCTCCAAAATGAACAGATGAGAGGGCCGGCTGTTTATATAAGCTTCCGGCAACAGAAACAACAGAACAAAAACACTAAAACTGCCTACTGAAGCACCAGGATGCACAATGTTTGTTTATGTGTATACGCAGTCGTGTGAAAAAGTTTGGACGCCCGATATGAAAATCCAGTTTTTCCATATCAGGATATGCAAAAATGATCTGATCTTAATATTTGGGAAATAATTTAACTATTAAACTATTTAAATAGTAAGAATTTAACGATGCACTAAATGATTTTTAGAGTGTGTGTTATGTAAAATTATGGTAAAAAAGTGTAAACAGTTGAAGTCAGAATTATTAGATAAATTATTAAATAAAAATTATTATATTTTTTCCCCCAATTTCTGTTTAACGGAAAGAATTTTGTCAACACATTTCTAATGATAATAGTTTTAATAACTAATTTCTACATCACAGGTTTATTCTGAAAATGTATTCCTATATACATTTGTGGAGATCACAAATTGTGTAGCCAGAGGTACGTATGGGTGAATTTAGTCTTTAAAACATACGTTACGAGGCGGTATGACGACGTTCCTTTTCACGCTTACCAGCTGACCGCTTACCTCAGTGTGGGTGGCTTTTCTGTTGTTACCAGTTTGCCCAGTGGCTCGCCATAGATGTCAGCGGACTTGTGACGTGGAGCGGAGTTCACTGCAATAACGGGGTTCAAGTCCAGTAAAGAACGGTTCCAGCAAGCTGATGAATCAAAAAACAAAATAAACAAGTTAATAACAGGGTGAGAAATTGGTTCAATCTGAAAACGTGTTAAAAATCAGGGGACTGCGAGGGCTTTTCTTTTTCTGGATTGCTTTTGAAAACACTATCGGTTGGGTTTAGAGAAGGCAGTGGGCAGGTCAATCGGGACTTTAAAGAAAAACTATTGGTTTGGTTTAGGGAAGGGGGTGGGCTGACACATTCTCACAGCAATTTGTAACTTTTTGATTTAGTGGCTAATTTGTATAAATATTCGTACAATCTAATTCGTACAATTTAGTACGATTTGCTCATCCCCGAATGACGGTTGGGTTTAGGGATGGGGTTAGGTGCCACGCCTTCTTTTTAAAATCATAAAAATGTTGTACAACTGAACTCGTTCGAATTTGTATGTTTTCTCGTGAGATCAGGCTGGGTGGGTGGGTGGGTCAATCTGCGATTTTGAAGACACTATCGGTTGGGTTTAGGGAAGGTGGTGGGCAGGTCAATTGCCACTTTTGAAAACACTATTGGTTGGGGGTGGGCGGGTCAATCGGCGCTTTTGAAAACACTGTAGGTTGGGTTTAGGGAAGGGGATGGGTGGGTCAGTCAGCACTTTCGAAAACACTGACGGTTGGGTTTAGGGAAGAAGGATGTTGGGTTTATGTGAGAAGAGCAGGTGCGAATGGCACTCATGAGAGAAATTTGAGATCTAAAAAGTTTACACAACAGCTTCTGGTGGATTCGCAAAAACAAAAAACTTGCATCTGCATCTTTGAAAACACTGTCAGCTGGGTTTAGGGAAGGTGGTGGGTGGTTTAATCTGTGCTTTAAAAACACTATCGGTTGGATTTAGGAAAGGGGTGGGGGGTCAATTGGCACTTTTGAAAACATTATTGGTTAGGTTTAAGGAAGGCGGTGGGTGGGTCAATCGGCGCTTTTGAAATCACAGTCAGTTGGGTTTAGGGAAGGAGGTGGGTGGGTTAATCAGCACTTTTGAAAACTATCGGTTGGGTGAAGGAAGTGGGTTGGTCAATCGGCGCTTTTGAATACACTGTCGATTGGGTTTAGGGAAGGAGGATGGTGGGTCAGTCAAGTGGGTGGTCAGTCAGTCAGTCAGTCGACAGCAGCCTCTGTTGGATTTATGTGTGTGTGTGTGTGTGTATATATATATATATAGGGAGTATTTAAAATAAAAATAAATCAAGCAAAATGTTTAAAATGAGCACATGAAGACCATTTAAGACTGATTCTAAGTGTTGAGAATAGAGAGTTGAGTGGTTTTGTGTCCCGCAGAGGAGTTTGGATCAACATGAAGGCGAGTAAATGATGTCAGATTGGTTGTGTTTTTTTGGTGAACTGTTTCTTAAAACTCTCTTGTAGGAGAAGAAGAAAAACAAACGTTTGGTTGGGGCCGGTTGGTTTTTGGCCCTTGGCTTTGCTGTGTTTGTGAAATCTCTGAAGATTACAAACATGCTGAGAATTTCACATTGGATACGGCTGCTGCCAACATGTTGCTCCTTCCTCACTCCCCAAAGAGACCAGCTCACTGAAATTGATTTAGAGCGCAGCAAATGGACTGAGCGGGAGAGAGATTGTGTGTGTGAGTGTGTGTGTGTGTGTGAGAGAGAGAGAAAGTAAGTCTGAGTGTGTGTGAGCTTGTGTGTCTGTGTGAGTCAGGAAGCATTTGAGTGTTTGTGGGTGTGTATGTGTATCAGTGTGTATGTATTGGTATATGGGCGAGTGCAAGTATGTGTGTGTGTGTGTGTGTGTGTGTGAATGTGTTTTAGTGCATGTGAGTTTGAGTGTGTGTGTACTGGTGTATGTGTATTGTGTGAGTTTGTGTGTCTGTGTGAGTGAGTGTGTATGTGTGTCTACATATAAGTGTGCTTCTTTTAGACTAGTGTGTGAATGTGTGTTAGCGCATGTGAGTGTTTATGTTTGACTACTAGTATGTATTGGTTATGTGTGAGTGCACATACAGTATGAGTGTGTGTGTGAGAGAGTGTTTGTGTGTTTACTAGTGTGTGAATGAATGTGTGTCTCTGTGAGTGTTTACTAGTGTGTATGTATTGGTGTATGTGTGATTGCACATATGCATGTGTGTGAGTGTTTGAGTGTGTGTACTAGTGTGTGTGAGTGCAGATGAGTTTGTGTACTAGTGTGAATGTGTGTGTGAGTGTATCTGAGATTGTGTATCTGTGGAAGTGAGTGTGCATTTAAGTGTGTTTGTGTATGTGTGTGTGTGTGTGTGTGTGTGTGTGTTTGTGTGTGTGTGCATGGGTGTATGTGTATAATTGTGTAAATGTGTGAGCATGTGTGTGTGTGAATGATTGTGTACATATGTAAGTGT